GGGTCCCTATCAATAGCAACAGCAACCTTAGACATTGACCTTGTGGGACCTTGTCAATAGAAACAGCAACCTTAGACATTAACCTTGTGGGACCCTATCAATACCAACAGCAACCTTAGACATTGACCTTGTGGGGCCCTATCAATAGCAACAGCAAGCTTAGACATTGACCTTGTGGGGCCCTATCAATAGCAACAGCAAGCTTAGACATTGACCCTGTGGGACCCTATCAATAGCAACAGCAAGCTTAGACATTGACCCTGTGGGACCCTATCAATAGCAACTGTAACCTTAGACATTGACCTTGTGGGACCCTATACATAGCAAAAGTAACCTTAGCCATTAACCTTGTGGGACCCTATCAATATCAACAGCAAGCTTAGACATTAACCTTGTGGGACCCTATCAATAGCAACAGCAAGCTTAGACATTGACCCTGTGGGACCCTATCAATAGCAACTGTAACCTGAGACATTGACCTTGTGGGACCCTATACATAGCAAAAGTAACCTTAGCAATTAACCTTGTGGGACCCTATCAATATCAACAGCAAGCTTAGACATTAACCTTGTGGGACCCTATCAATAGCAACAGTAACCTAAGACATTGACCTTGTGGGACCCTATCAATAGCAACAGCAAGCTTAGACATTAACCTTGTGGGACCCTATCAATAGCAACAGCAACCATAGACATTGACCTTGTGGGACCTTATCAATAGCAACAGCAACCTTAGACATTAACCTTGTGGGACCCTATCAATAGCAACAGTAACCTTACACATTAACCCTGTGGGACCCTATACATAGCAACAGCAACCTTAGACATTGACCCTGTGGGACCCTATCAATAGCAACAGCAACCTTAGACATTGACCTTGTGGGGCCTTATCAATATCAACAGCAAGCTTAGACATTAACCTTGTGGGACCCTATCAATAGCAGCAGCAACCTTAGACATTGACCTTGTGGGCCCCTATCAATAGCAACAGCAAGCTTAGACAATAACCTTGTGGGACCCTATCAATAGCAAGAGCAAGCTTAGACATTGACCTTGTGGGGCCCTATCAATAGCAACAGCAAGCTTAGCCATTGACCTTGTGGGACTCTAACAATAGCAACAGCAAGCTTAGACAGCAACCTTAGACATTGACCTTGTGGGTCCCTATCAATAGCAACAGCAAGCTTAGACCTTAACCTTGTGGGACCCTATCAATAGCAGCAGCAACCTTAGACATTGACCTTGTGGGTCCCTATCAATAGCAACAGCAAGCTTAGCCATTGACCTTGTGGGACTCTAACAATAGCAACAGCAAGCTTAGACAGCAACCTTAGACATTGACCTTGTGGCGCCCTATTAATATCAACAGCAAGCGTAGCCATTGACCTTGTGGGACCCTATCAATATCAACAGCTTAGACATTGACCCTGTGGGACCCTATCAATAGCAACAGTAACCTTAGACATTGTCCTTGTGGGACCCTATCAATAGCAACACCAACCTTAGACATTGACCTTGTGGGACCTTATCAATAGCAATAGCAACCTTAGACATTCACCTTGTGGGGCACTATCAATATCAACAGAAAGTCAGACATTAACCTTGTGGGACCCTATCAATAGCAGCAGCAACCTTAGACATTGACCTTGTGGCGCCCTATTAATATCAACAGCAAGCGTAGCCATTGACCTTGTGGGACCCTATCAATATCAACACCAATCTTAGACATTGACCTTGTGGTTCCCTATCAATAACAACAGCAACCTTAGACATTGACCTTGTGGGCCCCTATCAATAGCAACAGCAAGCTTAGACCTTAACCTTGTGGGACCCTATCAATAGCAGCAGCAACCTTAGACATTGACCTTGTGGAACCCTATCAATAGCAACAGCAAGCTTAGACAATAACCTTGTGGGACCCTATCAATAGCAAGAGCAAGCTTAGACATTGACCTTGTGGGACCCTATCAATATCAACACCAATCTTAGACATTGACCTTGTGGTACCCTATCAATAACAACAGCAACCTTAGACATTGACCTTGTGGTACCCTATCAATAGCAACAGGAAGCTTAGACATTGACCTTGTGGTTCCCTATCAATAACAACAGCAACCTAAGACATTGACCTTGTGGGACCTTATAAATAGGAACAGCAACCTTAGACATTATCCTTGTGGAACCTTATCAATAGCAACAGTAACCTTAGACATTGACCTTGTGGTACCCTATAAATAACAACAGCAACCTTAGACATTATCCTTGTGGAACCTTATCAATAGCAACAGTAACCTTAGACATTGACCTTGTGGGACCTTATCAATAGCAATAGCAACCTTAGACATTCACCTTGTGGGGCACTATCAATATCAACAGAAAGTCAGACATTAACCTTGTGGGACCCTATCAATAGCAGCAGCAACCTTAGACATTGACCTTGTGGGGCCTTATCAATATCAACAGCAAGCTTAGACATTAACTTTGTGGGACCCTATCAATAGCAACAGCAACCTTAGACATTGACCTTGTGGGACCTTATACATAGCAACAGCAACCTTAGAAATTTACCTTGTGGGACCTTATACATAGCAACAGCAACCTTGGACATTAACCTTGTGGGACCCTATACATAGCAACAGCAACCTTAGAAATTTACCTTGTGGGACCTTATCTATAGCAACAGCAAGCTTAGCCATTGACCTTGTGGGACTCTATCAAATCAATAGCAACAGCAACCTTGGACATTAACCTTGTGGGACACTATCAATAGCAGCAGCAACCTTAGACATTGACCTTGTGGGGCCCTTTCAATATCAACAGCAAGCTTAGACATTAACCTTGTGGGACCCTATCAATAGCAGCAGCAACCTTAGACATTGACCTTGGCGGGCCCTATCAATATCAACAGCAAGCTTAGACATTAACCTTGTGGGACCCTATCAATAGCAACAGCAAGCTTAGCCATTGACCTTGTGGGACTCTATCAATAGCAATAGCAAGCTTAGACATTGACCTTGTGGGACCCTATCAAAAGCAACACCAAGCTTAGACATTGACCTTGTGGGACCCTATAAATAGCAACAGCAACCTTAGACATTAACCTTGTGGGCCCCTATCAATAGCAACAGCAAGCTTAGCCATTGACCTTGTGGGACTCTATCAAATCAATAGCAACAGCAAGCTTAGACATTGACCTTGTGGGGCCCTATCAATAGCAACAGCAACCTTAGACATTAACCTTGTGGTACCCTATCAATAGCAACAGCAAGCTTAGCCATTGACCTTGTGGGACCCTATCAATAGCAACAGCAAGCTTAGCCATTGACCTTGTGGGACTCTATCAATAGCAACAGCAAGCTTAGACATTGACCTTGTGGGACCCTATCAATATCAACAGCAATCTTAGACATTGACCTTGTGGTACCCTATCAATAACAAAAGCAACCTTAGACATTGACCTTATGGGGCCCTATCAATATCAACAGCAAGCTTAGACATTGACCTTGTGGGACCCTATCAATCTCAACAGCAATCTTAGACATTGACCTTGTGGGACCTTATAAATAGCAACAGCACCCTTAGACATTAACCTTGTGGTACCCTATCAATATCAAAAGCAACCTTAGACATTGACCTTATGGGCCCCTATCAATATCAACAGCAACCTTAGACATTAACCCTGTGGGACCCTATCCATAGCAACAGCAACCTCAGACATTGACCTTGTGGGACCCTATAAATAGCAACAGCAACCTTAGACATTGACTTTGTCGGACCCTAGCTGAAACAAAAACTCATCTGAGATATTTTCATATTGATACTTAACCTTTTTATGAATTTGAATGAAATCTATTAAGAAGTGAAGTCGGCAGAGCTGAGTCCCCTAGAACTTTATACACCATTTGACTTGTGTCTCATCAAGGTACCCAAGCCTCCTTTACTTTTTCAAATGACTTCCAAACAACATTGTGTGAACCTTTGATAGTGACTATTTAATAAGTCCTGAAAGTAAAGACTGAAATAATTCCACAATGTGCAGTCAGTGAGCATTATCATCATGATAGCAAAAATCAATGCAATCAGGATATTTTTAACTTGGCATGTATTTGACCTTATTATTAGAGGAACTGCCTACTGCTAAATTATGAAATGCATATATGAACAAGTTCTAATTGTAATGGGGACGACAACAGAAGTCCTCAAAACTGACATCATAGTCATAAATTTCACCACTGTAGACCATAATGGACTCACCCAGATGAATGTATGGTAGATTCTATTAAAGTTACCAAGGGGTGAAAGGGTTAATGGTTCAAAAGTTACAACCCAGACAATATGTTCCTGAAAAATGTGCACATATTTGACCTTTGACCAACGTCATTAAGACAGTGCACTGCACATCGTCTATGGGTGATGCAGGTATACTTTTAAGTTTCACCAAGATATCTTTAATGGTTTAAAAGTTACAACCCTTCATTCGAAGGGGAGACATAATAACATCAAACAAACGAAAAGGTAAAAGACAAACATCAACTTAAAAAGGTATTAAAGCTGGTTAGTTATATCTAACTAGAACAGAATGTAGAGATACCTACAGTTTGAAGGATGGGAGGGTTACAAAAGCTACGAATCTATCTATAACTACACATGCACATGTCTGGTGCTGAGAAAAGAGGTGTGAGTGGGCCCTTATGACATACATCTCTGTTGGATGCAGCTATCTAAAGACTACCAACGAACATGTCAACACATGGTGTGGGTCCCTAGTCCATAGCAACCAGAACAGTAACTTAAAGCATCCCAACCAATTCTTACCTGTTAATATCAAACATGTCAACACATGATGTGGGTCCCTAGTCGATAGCAACCAGAACAGAAACTTAGAGCATCCCAACCAATTCTTACCTGTTAATATCAAACATGTCAACACATGGTGTGGGTCCCTAGTCGATAGCAACCAGAACAGTAACTTGAAGCATGCCAACCAGTTAGAGTTCTTACCTGTTAATATCAAACATACCACTTCTCTGTCTGCGGCCCATGTCTGGAGTAGAAGGCTCCAAAAGGTCTGCAGAAACCAAATGGTAAGAAGTTTTATTACAGGGACAAGCTAATCAGTAGATCCAGAAAGGCTTATATTTTATTCTCAGGCATAACAATTCAATTTGAATTTATTCCACAAATTAGACAATACTTATTAACAATATATAAATTGCATTTACAAATAACATCTTTACCATACTTAACCCAATGCTTTGAACTTTCTCATAAATATTCCGGAGGTATATACATTTATTTTGCTTCTCAAATACAATCAATTTTCAAAATGATTTCTTTTTGAACTTTTTTGCTCAATGCTAAATGCTGTTAAACATCTTTTGTAGAACAGGTCACAGTTTCTATTGTAATACAAGCTGACATGTTACAAAAGAAATATAAAAGTATCTTGTACAAATACATTTTATACAATTGACATACAAATTAATATCAACCCCAGTCAGATAAGTACCAAGAAACCACCCCAGGGAAAGACAGATGCAACAGAGATAGGAAACTCAAATAGACCATGGATATATATTGATATTATTTTATCTATACTTACCTACTTCACACGGACATTTAATCTTTTTATCATATATATAAATAGCTAACTGCTTTAGGAGAGAGGGGGGGGGGGACATGTGTGACAAAATGATGGTCTCTCATGAGAGGGTATTGCTAAATAGGGGTGATTTCTCTAACAGATTAAACTGTAATTAGTTCATCAAACACTTGAAACACCCATATTATAATATTCATGCAATATGGTCATGTTAAATACACACAAAAAAGCATTTTAGGCAGTTTTAAATTCGGAGTATTTTTTATTATGTGAAATGCTGTAAAATAAGAACAAAACATATCAAATGTGTAATGTACATATTATATTACAAATATAGACAATATTACAATTAAAACACATCCATGGTTCCTTTTTCATGAAAAGTTGATATTTAGATTTTTTAGTCGTTTCTTTGTGAGAAATTAAAAGTTTTTATCTATTAACGTTCTTTAAAATGCTAAAAATAAGCCAATCTGAAAACTTTCAACTAAGCTATGCTACAACTTTTCGTTTCTCCCCATCCAAAACACCATGACCATCCTAGATATCATATTACCTGCAGGACAAGAGTTATACATGTTTTTCCCCAATCAATCAATTAATACAACAAATCTAATGTTCAATGTAAGGTGTATTGTACTTCTGTCTGAAGCTGTTGTTTTGCACTTGCTACGCTGAAGGGGTATCAATAACAATCTATACATCTCTATAAATAAAATGAAAGAGTAAACCATCAAAATAAGTGTTACGATTATCAATACATAAAACTGCCACTGTAAAAATTAGCTCGGATAAATAAGCCAATATTTGTGTTAGTACATCTCGTATTATAAAATTAGGTCAGTATTTTCTGTCCCAGTTTATCATTGCAGCCAAATTTAAAAGTAGACTTTCATTTAAGGGATTAACTAGATTGAGTTCCAGCACTTCATCATCTCCATTAAAGTGTTAATTTCTGAGTAGTAGATGGTTAATTTCTGAGAAGTAGACGGTCAATCTAGCCATGCTTCTCTTGCCTGACTCTTCAATAAATTTCTCCATTCTCCCTTCACTTCTTCGCTTCTTGACCTGCTCTTTGAACTTTGAACTTTTTTCGTATTCCGCCATGTCTTTGTCTTGTTCATTCTCCGACATTTCCTCCAACATGCCCACACCTGTTTCCTGTGTATCTAAGTACGACTGCACCAAGTCCTCAATAAATGAAGGTCGGTGGAGGTCAGGGTCGTCAAGAAGAGGGAACGGATTGTCGTCAAGCAGAAGGACTGGACCTCTGGCCCCCAACAGTGCCCGGTCTGGAGTGGTCACCTCTCCATCTGTACAGTCGGTCAGCCGACTGTCCAGTTCTGACGGAGTTATGTTGTCGAATGTGATATCAGTTAAGACGGAATCACCCTTCTCCAACAGAGGCAATGCTGAAACGTTCATCAACCACGAACTGTCAAAAACCTTTACCTTTCCTTAAATTTGGGATGGCCATCAATATTACAATCAGTTATTTCAGAATTAAAACTAGAACTATAAGCCACAGGCTACCTTATACCTTCTGCTCCGCCATGAATATGATCAAAATAGAAAATATAGTGTAATGTTTATATCAAGTGATGAAAACTGTTACCATTGAAAAAAAATCATTTAAAGTCTGTTAAATATTGTCAGCTGTTGTCTATATACAACAAGTTTTAAACAGCGACTGTTACTTATTTCCCCCAAGGTGACTATATCCTTGCAGTCGCAAAAGATGATATTCAAATTGAGCCCAACAAAATTCAACTTGGGGTTTAATGTATAATCCAATAAGAATCCAAGGCAGCCATCTTTATTCCAGAAATTCAAAAATCAGCTGACAACATAAAGAATATCTCTTATTTATCACTTTCACAAAGTATCAACAAAGTATAGCCTCAATAGAATTCAAGTTATAACAGTTATTGTCCAGCCAATCAGAGGCCACTTGGAATCCCAAAAATGAAGAATTGGCCATTAGGTATAAAGTATCTTACCAATGTATCACTCTTTGAATTTTTGTTTGTAATTGATCAGAGAGTTTTGGAGAATTTGTCCAGATTGAACTGACTAAGATAAAAAATGCAATTTAACTTTGGGAAAAAATCTTGAAACTAAAAACGACTGTATGCCCAAATCATGCATTTTGTTTTGTTGACATTAGTTAATTAGGAGTTGTCCGAAGAAGCTTTTACACATGGACTGTAGTCAGACAGACAAGCTGATCCCAGTACGCCACCCTATCCTCCCACCTTTGTTGTAGAGTGTACAATGATATTGAACCTCTCCACCTGGTGACAGAGATGTTGTAGAGTGTACATTGATATTAAACCTCTCCACCTGGTGACAGAGATGTTAACATACACATGGCTCCATGTTGGATACATTATAAACACACCACTATGGAAAGTGACTTGTCATTTAAGATATTTAAACAAATTGCTCTGGTATGAAAAAAAAGACAACTCAAGTGAGGTATCAAAGGTGTTTACAAACACATTGCTCTGGAGTGTAAAAATGTTGGATACTTACGAGATTTGTCGGAGATGTTGGTGAGCTCCCGGAGTCTGTTGGATGCCCTGCTGGATGTCTCGGTGATACACAGGGACTCGGGCACGACTCTCACGGCACGTCCATCCCAGTTCTTACTGATGTCTCCCTCCTTGGCAAAAGAGAATCATACATGAATGACAAAATTTTGAAAAGGTTTCGTTTTTTCAGAGGTAAAGTACAGTGATCACTTAATTAGGATTCAGGGTTCTGACCAAATATTATGACTCTAGTCTGTTTAGTTCTTCAGAAGAAGTCATCTGATTATTTTAACATTCAAATTTTAAAGGGCAATTTTTAGTGGCCCAGTTTATTTACAGATTTTGTATTTCTTTGCAAATTTGCAGACCAACGTGCTAATGGTAGTACATGGAATATGAATATTAGAATCAAAGGATAGTTGGTTCATTTACAGAAAGAAATTATTAGATGCCAAAACTTTCATCCCCCCCCCCCCCATTTTTGCCCCTGAAAGAGACTAGTTCTTTCTCTTTCACAAACCTGAATCAAATTTACCTAGAAAAAGGCCCTAGCTACCACGTTTTGTTGTATTTGACCTAGTGAGTTCAAAAGGACAGAAATTGTTTTCAGAAGCAATAAAAAACAAAATACACTGTAATTTAAATTACAATTAAGGAAGATAGCAATAGATAAAATAAACAGGACATTGATTTACAGTCAACTGCTATAATTTTAAACAATTTCCTCTAATTTCTACGACATTCTTTAATATATTCCTAATTGAATATTTTAAAACCACACATTATTTCCAGGAAAACTCCTCTAGCTTTAACTCATTCACCCCTGAATATTCATAATGAACTATTCCAACCTTTGAATTGGAAGAGTTCAAATGTGTCTTCAGGGGTGAATGAGTTAAGTCAGTAGGAAGGAACTAGAAGCTTTGTAATGAAACACTGTTAACCTTCAGGTCTGCATCATCATGGAAGAGGGAAGAGGATTCGTCCACCCAGTTGGAAATCCAGTCCGTGAAGCTATCTGTCCGGTACGGGATGTCCAGCCTCGTCGCTAGAGCCTTCAGGGCTTCCTCCTGTTACAAGAGAGGTCATAGGTCAAAGGGGAGGGGTCACACAAAGATCAAACAAAGTCAAAGGTCATTGTTCATACAATCAAACTTATATAAAGACAGCAAATTAAAGCAAGCATTCAATGTTAAATTGAAGTCTTTCAATCATCAGAGACAAACATCTAGGATATGTGTTTGAAAAAATTATATACTCCTCTTTTTGGTGTGGTTTAAGAAAAAAATGCCCTTTCTTAATGCATTTTCAAAAAAATTAATCATACTGAAATGATTTTCGACTTCAAACTTCCACACTGCTAACACAATGTTGATGTTTATCCCTACGCACCCTTCTGTATATGACCCTGACTGTTGCTAGGACATTAATCCCCCTCCACCCCCCACACAGACTGCTGTTACAGTGATGTTCCTTTCACACCCACCTCCTCCTCTTTGCTGTTGTATTTGCTCTTGAAGCCCATGTCCTGCATCAACTGCAGTAGGTCATCCTTGTTATTGACCCCTATCATCTCTGCCAAGATGGACACCATCTCCTCTCGTACATCTGACTGTAACAGGAAAACTCAAAACTCAAATTTGAACAAGAAATTTATTTTTGTGAACAAAAACATATGTCTCCCCTTATTAGCCAATAGACAAACTTCGATATATTTTTTTAACAAAGGGCCATATCTCTATATGTAGTGGGGCACCGCCACAAGACCTAGTTCCAGTCCACTGCACACCTTCTGTGGGTGATGCAGGTATACTTCAAGTTTGATTAAGATATCTTTAATGGTTTAGAAGTAATGCTGTGGACAAACTTCAGTATTAAAAATAAACAAAGGGCCATATAGTGGGGGCATAAAACCTGATTTTAGTGCGAGAGATTTCACCTTCCCAAGATACATAAATTTGGTAAGTTTGGTCAGCGTAGGTGAAATAACATGGAACTTGTGCTACGGACAAACTTCAATATTAAAATTAAACAAAGTGCCATAACTCTGTATATAGTGAAGCAAGATACCTAAATCCAATGCACTGCACACCTTTTGTGGGTGATGCATGCACACCTAAAGTTTCATCAAGATATCTTTAAAGGTTTCAAAGTTATGGCCCGGACAAGTTGCGATTAGAATAACCAGAAAAAGAAGAAGAACCAGAAGATTTAGAACATGCAGCTATACAATATGTCTCTCTTCATTCGAAGGGGGGACATATTTCATCAGAGAATTAATTAAGAGTTTGTGTCAATGGAACATGTTCTAGACGAATGTTTTTGTACGATAAGAAATCAGTTTGTTTTTATAACTTAAAATGTGTATTATATTTTCAAACAAAATAGCCACGTCCACAACTGCACAGTATAACTACCTGTACATTTCACATGCCATCTCACTTGATGACAATGTCATATAATTTTCTGTTAAAACTCTTTGACAAATTTTATGTGATATTTCTAAATGGTTATAATTACCAAAATAAATCTGCTCAAATACTTGCAGTACTTTAATAAAGTTTTAACACAAATTTCATTTATTTTACAACAACTATAAAACCACTTATTTCAACTTCTATGAATCACTCTAAATGCTGGCCCTGATGGGAAACTGCACATGGTCTCAATGTGAGAGGAAACCAGGGTACCCAAGAAAACGTTGTCAGGCAGGTCACATCCGATCTGGGAATCGAACCTCGGCCCTCTTGGTGAAGAGCGAGTGTGTTATATTTACACTGCTTTATTACAATTTATGGACAAACATTTCCTTTCAACGGATGTCCAAGTCCATAAGGGGTAAATACATGTTCGTATCAATGATCTTACATATCCTACAACAGAGGCACGGTAGTCTAGTGGTAGGACGCCGGGCTCGTGACCGAAGGGTTGCGGGTTCGAGTCACGTCAAGGTCACTTTACCCTGCTTGTTCCAGTCCACTGTAAATGACTACATGGTTGGGCAGTGCCTGCATTGTTAAATGCTAGCTGTGAGTGCCGAAATGGCAGCACCGGCTATATGCTCCCCAGGGATTGGAGAAAGATATTGCCTGGTTGCAAAGGCCCAATGACTACAGATAATAAATAGTGAATCGCTTTGAGACGGCCTACGACCTAGGCTGCGATAAAGCGGTACATAAGAACCTTAAACTATTAGTATTATTATTTATCTGTGTCATTCAATGTGTGCTATAGGTACAAACTTACCTGGCTGTCGATGAGGCGTGGCAACAAGGTGGCCAGAACATCGGGACGGTTGCCACCGATCTGTTGGAGGGTACGGAGATTGTTTATCGGTACTGGAGTGGAGTTTCCTAGCTGTGCGGACAATTTGTGGATGATTCTGTCAAGGTACATGTCTGGTATACCAAAGTCCCTGTGGGTTACAGAAATGAGATTAGTACTTTACACAAGTCCCTGTGAGGAAATCAGACATAATACAAGTTTACTGTTGGTAACATTATCAGGGGAATTAATTTCGCTATATTCGCCGTCACCAAAGTTAACAACTTTATTAACATGGCACCTTTTTGTGTAAACTTTGTCCTTAGCAGTTTGTTTGACAATACAAATTTAATATGAATGACTGAAACTCGTTAACACTTACAGATTTATATATCTAGCTTCATAATACCTGTAGTTAATCATGCTGCAGATTATTAATTGAAAATAAAAATGTTATCAGAACAAAATATAATTCCATTTCAATATAATCCAGTTACCCATCGACTTGTACCTAAGTCAAACCTGCTCATGTGAAAACCTCCATCAAGCGACCACCGGTGTTTAGAGGCCACTTTTAATGTTTCCCATTATAACTGAATATAAGGAGACCACTTTCTGGACTTCCCTTATAAGGTCATAGGTCTCGTGATACAGGTTTGAGTGGTTACTAGTTTGTTATATGTATCAATGGATTTGAATTGTTTTGGGGAAAACAACCACACAACATAAACTTGACAAACAGCTTGTAAAGATTAAATGTCTTCACTTACTTGTGAAGGTCAAGGATGTAATCACAGATCTTGGAGTGGAGATCAGGGTCGTCAGTGTCGAGGAGGGTGAGCAGACGCTGCATGATACTATCAAAGGATGGCGTGCCCCTCATGTCAGAGAACCAGTCCTCCTCAAGGAGCTTCTGAATACTGTCCATATCATTCAAACCAAGCATACTGCCTCGCTTACCCGACGGGTCCTGTCCATGATAGCAACAATAACAGGTAAAATAGCCAAAATTGAGGCCACCTCTCTCTTTGGGTGGAATTCCCAGTAGAAGGTTTGAAAGTTATTACCACTGAAATTTTTGGGCGTGATTCACACTTGGATTTATAAAATGGAATTTTTTTACAGAGAAAATTTGGGGCAAAAATCTTACTTAATTTTTGAATTTTGGGTGGAATTCCTGCTGGGTGTTTTGGGCGTGATTCACACTTGGATTTATAAAATGGAATTTACAGAGAAAATTTTGGGCAAAAATCTTAATTTTTGAATTTTGGGTGGAATTCCTGCTGGGTGTTTTGGGTGGGATTCCCACTGGGATTTTTGGGTGGGATTCCCAATGGGGTTTTGGGGTGGGATTCCCACTTGGATTTATTAGATGGGATATACAGAGAAAGTTTTGGGTAGGAATCTTACTTAATTTTATGAATTTTTGGGTGGAATTCAAACTGGAATTTTTTAATTGATTCTTATAAGGAAATTTGACCGGCGTTAATTTTCACTGGGACAGTTTCGGGAAGGAGTCCCACTGGGTCTTTTGGGTGGGATTCCCATTGGGAGAGATTCCCACCAGGATTTTTTACTTTTGGTGAGATTCCCACTGGGATTTCTGGGAGGGATTTCCAAAGGGATTTTTAGGCGAGATTCCCACTTGGAGCTTTGTGAGAGTCCCACTGTCATTATTGGGTGAGATTCTCACTGGGAGTTTTGGGTGGTATTACCACTGAATTTTTTGGTGGGATTCCCACTCTGATTTCGAGTGGGATTCCCACTGGGTTTTTAGGTTGAGGTTCCCACTGGGAGTTTTGGGTGAGATTCCCACTGGGAGTTTTGGTTGAGATTCCCACTGGGAGTTTTGAGTGAGATTCCTACTGAGCTTTTGGGTGGGATTCCCCCTGGGAGTTTTTCGTGGGATTCCCACTGAGATTTTTGGTGGGAATTCCCACCTCGGTTTTTAGGTTGAGATTCCCACTGGGATTTTTGGGCGATATTCCCACTGGAGTTTGTTTGGTGAGATTCCCACTTTTTTTGGGGTGGGATTCCCATTCAAAGTTTTGTGAAATTCCCACTTAGATTTTTGGGCGAGATTCCCTCTGGGATTTTTGGGTGGGATTCCTATTGGGAGATATTCTCATTTGAATTTTTTGGTGGGATTCCCACTGGGATTTTTGGGTGAGATTCCCACTGGGATTTTTTGGGTCAGATTCCCACTGGGTATTTTTGGGTGGGATTCCCATTGGGAGTTTTGGGTGAGATTCCCACTTGGTGTTTTTTTGGGTGAGATTCCCACTGGGGTTTTTTGGGTGGGATTCCCACTGGGTTTTTTGTGTGGGCTTCCCTCTGGGATTTGTTGGTGATAACATGAAAAATCCATAACGAGTATCATAAATCTAATATGAAGGGAAAGGAACGACGGATACTTTTTATCATATGTTACAAAGTAAACTGTATAATTGTGATCTGAAACGAATATTTTGCGCTTGGCTGCCTCTGAAACAATGATGTGACGTCACATTGCTTGCTCCTATAAGATTGTGATGCTATTTCCGGAGTGATATTACACATGTTACATAAACATAATTCATGTGATGGCTTTATGACACTGCATAACATGGTATTCATATGATTAACTGTAATAATTAATGCATCTGAAAGGCGAATTTTGCAATGGATGAATAGGAATTGTCTCAGTGAAGGGTGAAAATGTACAGGTATAAAGTCTAGAATTGAATATCAAATACACCAGGAGAAAATAAAGCTATATATGATCCAATTTATTTTTTAGATATAAATATGTGATGCCGAGTCTGTGACTAATTCTCTTATCCAATCAAACACCGATGAGATAACATTACCTTGTATCTGACGTCAGTTGAATCCTCATCCACAACCATGTTGGTCAGTTTGAAGGACTTTGACCGCTCCCTGCTTTGAGCCCCACCAGAGTTGGTAAGTCTCCTCACCCCACGCATGGAGTCTGGTGTCTCTAGATCGTTACGAAATTCAAACTTTTTCGACTTCACTGAAGAAATATAAAAAAAAAATTCAGACAGAGTCTAGCTGGTTGAAGGACATGCTTCTGCAAAGTGGTTGAGTATCTCTGAAATTGTTCCTACAAGAAGAAACTACCAAAACAATGTCTCTGAATTTGGTAAGAAACAGACATTTTCTAAAGCTTGGAAAATAAGTTTTTTTTAATGTCTTTGAATATCAACTTATAGAATGTATACATGAAAAATCCACAAGAATACTTGATCACTAAAAAGTGTTATTTTTATGGGGAACTGGTTTCAGTCATAAAGAAATCTAAATAAAAATCTCCAAAATTTGAATTACTCAATTTTAACAGCAGCAAAAAGAAAATGTTACAATAATTTCACCTTTAAAAAAGCCATTCATTTCTTAGCCAAAATAAAACCAGTTGAAATTGAAAATCTTACAATTTCAATTATTGTCTAATGATAAGTGCAGTGTTCATTTTTTACTAATAGAGACAATCATAAATTACTTTTCACCAGGATTATGTGACAGGTAATGAAATAAATATTTTATGAATAATTCCACCCAACCAGTGAGGGATCGAACAGTCTAAGTTTTCTATACATCACTCACATTCATATTTCGGTGTGACAGGCGTGGAGCGTCGACTGCTTTTGGAGTAGCCTCCCCTGATGGATGAGGCATTGGATAGTGTGGACGATGCCCTGACCATATTGGTTAGTTTCTGGAATTGATTCAGGGTCGACTTTGGAGCGGCATCATCATCATCCATCCATGTAAATGGTGTTGCTCGCTGTTGAACACCAATTAAAAGAGGTCAGACAGCATGCAAAAATTGATGCATTTTATCTTCAATTTGAAAATTTACAAAATTCACCTCAATACTGGATTTTTTTTTGACATTGATGTATGTAAACCTCAGGCAATATAATTAAGGAAGAGTAATTAGAGTATGCCTTTTAGAGCATTGATTGACAAAGCTGTAGTATTAATTTGAACTAAAAATCCACCCTGAACAGTGTGTGATGTAAGTGGAAATTCCCCATAGCTGCACACAAACTGTGTTAACTCATTCACCCCTGAAGACACATTTGAACTCTTCAAATTCAATGGTTGGAATAGTTCATTATGAAATTTCAGGGGTGAATGAGTTAAAATGTTTTCACCAGTCTATCCCGATAGACCCAGTGTGTAATGAAATGGCAGCTCGGAAAAGCATAAAGCCATTTTTACTTATTTTAATTGTACAAATATTGATAAGTGACAATGAATGATAAAATTATTTTAATTTCTCACATTACCTACAGCATTTGAATATGAAGAAATGATAATGGTCATATACTTCAAATCATTCACCCCTGAAGACACATTTGAACTCTTCCAATTCAAAGGTTGGAATAGTTCATTATAAAATTTCAGGGGTGAAAGAGTTAACTTGCCCAACACACAGTACTTATGACTGGTGCTACACAAAACGAGTCAAAGTCATGAACTCAATCACCCATAAAATTTCATAATGTACTATTCCAACCTTTGAATTGGAAGAGTTGAAATGTGTGTTCAGGGCTTAATGAGTGAAGATTAGCAGCCAATAGCCAGGGTCCTCCTCAGAAATATTTTGCACCAGCTTTGGGTTCTATCGTATCTTTCAGTCCCATAGAAACATGACACGTTAACACCATCCTCTGATAAGTTCCTTATTGTATTATGATGATTTAGTATATCAACTATGTATTTATACACCACTTGATGTCAGTATTGATATAAAAGATGTTCAACTCAAAAATTGTAAAAAAAAAAAGGATCTTGCATGCCAGTGAGTCAAAAATAAGGACACAGAATAGCAGTGAGTCATTGTAAAGAGTACAACACATCAGAGAGTCTACAGCACTACAGTGAGTTAGTATGAAGGACACAGCATTACAGTAAGTTAATACAAGAGGCCCAGAGGACCTGTATCACTCACCTGGATACCTAAGCAATCATGGCAAAATATTCTCCACATGAGATCAAGGGAATATGACAGACACCAAACCAAGGCCAATCCTTGTAGCATAGCTATATTAGATTTTTCATGCCCAGCAATTTTATGTATGGTTATGGGGTGGGGATCTGAACTGTTTCCAAGCTTTGACTCAGTAACTAGGTCCCGAGAGTTGTGGCCAGACCCCGGGATCGATTCTAATATCGTGACTGCATTTGTCTCTTTTTGCCCAGCATTTGTGTATATAGTTTTGGGGTGGGGATCTCAACCGTTTCAAAGTTATGACCCAGGGGCCAAGTCTGCAAGGGTGGGGCAGACCCTGGGATCAATTCTAATATCATGACTGCATTCGTCTCTTTATGCCTAACAATTGTATATATAGTTTTGGGGTGGGGATATTAACCATTTCGAAGTTATGACCCAGGGGTTAAGTCTCCAAGGGTGGGGCAGTCCCCAAGGCCAACCTGGAAGCATATGTACAATCATCTCTTTATACTCAGCAATTGTATATATACGGTTATAGGGTGGGGCTCTCAACTGTTTCCAAGCTGTGACTAAGAAACTAGGTCCCTAGGGGTTCGGTCAGACCCCAGGGTCTATTCTGATATCATGATTGCATTCGTCTCTTTATGCCCAGCATTTGTATATATAGTTTTGGGGTGGGGATCTCAACCGTTTTAAAGTTATGGCCCAGGGACTATGTCTCCAAGGGTGGGGCCAGACCCTAGGGACATCCTGGAAGCAAATGTGCATTCTTCTCTTTATACTCAGCAATTGTATATATGGTTATATGGTGGGGATCTCAACCATTTCCAAGTAATACATTTTATTGGCCCACCCCTTAGCCCCCAGGGGGGTCAGCCCCACCATTTGTACAATTTTGAATCCCCGCCTCCCATGAATACTTCCGACCAAATATGATCAATATAAATGGCATAGTTCTGCAGAAGAAGTCGTTTATAGCAATATAACCAAATTGCCCCCTTTTGGCCCCGCCCCTAAGCCCCCTGGGGAGTCAGCCCCACCATTTGTACAATTTTTAATCACCACCACCTAGGGATGCTTCCAGTCAAATATGGTTGATATCCACTCCTTAGTTCCAGAGAAGAAGTCGCTTAAAGCAATATGGCCTAATTGTTAAGGTACGGATGGACTGACGACGGACGGACGACGGACGCCACGGTATGGCATAAGCCTTCGGACCAGGTGAGCTAATAAAGGACACAGCATTCCAGTGAATTAATAATATGAAGCACACAGCATTCCAGTGAGTAAATGTGTAGGACACAGCATTCCAGTGAGTTAATATGAAGGAAACAGCTTCCAGTGAGTTATTATTAGGAAACAGCTTCCAGCGAGTTGATATGAAGGAAACAGCTTCCGGGGAGTTAATTTTAGGAAACAGCTTCCAGCGAGTTGATATGAAGGAAACAGCTTCCAGTGAGTTAATATGAAGGACACAGCTTCCAGTGAGTAAATATTTAGAAACAGCTTCCAGCGAGTTAATATGAAGGAAACAGCATTCCAGTGATATGAAGGACGTAGCATTCCAGTGAGTTAACATGAAGGAAACAGCATCCAGTGAGTTAATATTAGGAAATAGCTTCCAACTGATAATATGAAAGAAACAGCGTTCCAGTGATATGAAGTACATTGCATCCCAGTGAGTTAATATTAGGAAACAGCTTCCAGCGAGTTAATATGAAGGAAATAGTTTCCAGTCAGTTAATATGAATGAATTAGCTTCCAGTGAGCTAATATGAAGGAAACAGCTTCCAGTGAGTTAATATGAAGGACACAGCATCCCAGTGAATTAATATTAGGAAACAGCTTCCAGCAAGTTAATATGAATGAAACAGCTTCCAGAGAGTTAATATGAAGGAAACAGCTTCCAGTGAGTTAATATGAAGGACACAGCTTCCAGTGAGTAAATATTTAGAAACAGCTTCCAGCGAGTTAATATGAAGGAAATAGTTTCCAGTGAGTTAATATGAATGAATTAGCTTCCAGTGAGCTAATATGAAGGAAACAGCTTCCGGTGAGTTAATATGAAGGAAACAGCTTCCGGTGAGTTAATATGAATGAAATAGCTTCCAGTGAGTTCATATGAAGGAAACAGCTTCCAGTGAGTGAATATGAAGGAAACAGCTTCCAGTTAGTTAATATGAAGGACACAGCATCCCAGAGAGTTAATATGAAGGAAACAGCTTCCAGGGAGTTAATATGAAGGACACAGCTTCCAGTGAGTTTATATGAAGGAAACAGCTTCCAGTGGGGTATTATGAAGGAAACAGCTTCCAGTGAGTTTATATGAAGAAAACAGCAAATAGCATTCCAGTGAGTTAATATTAGGAAACAGCTTCCAGTGAGTTTATATGAAGGAAACAGCTTCCAGTGAGTTAACATGAAGGAAACAGCTTCCAGTGAGTTATTATGAAGGAACCAGCTTCCAGTGAGTTAATATGAAGGAAAGCATCCGAGTGAGTTAATATGAATGAAATAGCTTCCAGTCAGTTAATATGAAGGAAACAGCTTCCGGTGAGTTAATATGAAGGACACAGCAAATAGCATTCCAGTGAGTTAATATTAGGAAACAGCTTTCAGTGAGTTAATATGAAGGAAACAGCTTCCAGGGAGTTAATATGAAGGACACAGCTTCCAGTGAGTAAATATTTAGAAACAGCTTCCAGCGAGTTAATATGAAGGAAATAGTTTCCAGTGAGTTAATATGAATGAATTAGCTTCCAGTGAGCTAATAAGAAAGAAACAGCTTCCAGTGAGTTAATATGAATAAAATAGCTTCCAGTGAATTAATATGAATGAAATAGCTTCCAGTCAGTTAATATGAAGGAAACAGCTTCCGGTGAGTTAATATGAAGGACACAGCATTCCAGTGAGTTTATATGAAGGACACAGCTTCCAGTGAGTTTATATGAAGGAAACAGCTTCCAGTGGGGTATTATGAAGGAAACAGCTTCCAGTGAGTTATATGAAGTACACAGCATACCAGTGAGTTAATATGAAGGACACAGCTTCCAGTGAGTTTATATGAAGAAAACAGCAAATAGCATTCCAGTGAGTTAATATGAATGAATTAGCTTCCAGTGAGCTAATAAGAAAGAAACAGCTTCCAGTGAGTTAATATCAAGGAAAAGCATCCCTGAGTGAGTTAATATGAAGGAACAGCTTCCAGTGAGTTAATATGAATGAAATAGCTTCCAGTGAGTTTATATGAATGAAATAGCTTCCAGTGAGTTATATGAAGTACACAGCATCCCAGTGAGTTAATATGAAGGACACAGCTTCCAGTGAGTTTATATGAAGGAAACAGCTTCCAGTGAGTTATTATGAAGGAACCAGCTTCCAGTGAGTTAATATGAAGAAAACAGCAAATAGCATTCCAGTGAGTTAATATTAGGAAACAGCTTCCAGTGAGTTAATATTAGGAAACAGCTTTCAGTGAGTTTATATGAAGAAAACAGCAAATAGCATTCCAGTGAGTTAATATTAGGAAACAGCTTCCAGTGAGTTAATATTAGGAAACAGCTTTCAGTGAGTT